ATTCAGAAATATGGAGAATATGGTAAATCTTGTTCAGGTCCATGCTTTTCAGTTTCAAATGAAGCATTTTTCACATGCTAATTTAGCGTGTTACAATTCGTGAATCTTTCATTTTTGCTATAATGATAAACTCGACAATTCTGGCTTATACATCCAGGAAAGCAATTTTTCTTGCTCAAATTGACTGCTCAAAATTTTATTCTTATTAAAACCCCAGGCACTACTTCATTCAAATTGGCAGTAGGTAAATAAATTAGCATCACTATTCCTTTTATAATAAGTCATAACACTAGAATCCTTTCTTTGCAGAATATATATCAGACACAATGAAGCTGGGAGCTAGCCTTCCTGCTTATAGAACTTTTGCTTTGGAGGAGCTTCAGGAAGCCACCCATAACTTTGATGATTCAACATTACTAGGTGAAGGTTCACATGGACAGGTATTCATTCTTTATAGTTGCAAAACAATTCTAACTAATTCAGTACATCGTAATAGTAATACGATGTTCTCTCTTAATTTGCACCTGCTTTCACATTTTATGTTTCTTGCTTATATAATTCCATCCATTTGGATATGCAAAAGATCCTTTGTGGATTGAAGAACCTCAGATAAGAGACAATATATATTATGTAGATGTTGAATTTAAATACAATTTAGGACAAGATACATTTCAACAAGCTTTATCTAACTACTCGGGAATAAATAATATACAGGTCGGACTAAATTACGATGGCTCACCGATGCATGGTGGGTTCTCCTGTGTGTCTAGGTTCTTGATTTTCATCTAGTCTCCAGTTCTTGGTACACAATTGAAGAACTACATAGTTGAAGCAACTTAAATACACACACTGACATATGTATGTGTGTATGAATGTGTATATAGATTTAGTTATCTCGATTTAATTTAGAGTTCATAGTCCTCAAAAGCATGATGTAAATAGATTTAGGAATTACTTTGTAGAGCTTCTGATATGCTTAAAACGTGAGACTTCTCCACCTTAAACAAGCTTCTGTTGAGTAAAGATTCCCTTTAAAACTCCGAGGTGGCCTCACATTTAATGAAAAAAGAGTAGAAATTGAAAGAGAACAAAAGACTAATTTTCAAAAGAGGTTGCAGGAGCACATCTAGTCCTTTCAAGCAGCCTTTTTCAAGGTATGCTACCAAAGGATTTTAAGGATGCAGCAAAGTGATTTTGTATAGAAGCAAGAAAAGTTTTAAAATGAGAAAACACCTCTGATTTTTGACACATAGGATAAAACCAAGTGTAACGTGTAAAATCATCCGTAAAAATAACATAGTATTTATATCCAGTGACTGAAAGCACAGGAGATTGCCATACATCAGAATGAACCAAGGCAAAAGGAAATGAGGCACTGATTTCATTACTACTAGAAAAAGGGAGGTGTGTGGATTTACCTAAAGCACACCCTTGACAAAAGGATTTTTGAAATTTAAAATCAGATGATAACAATTGATTCGATCCTAAATATGATAAGATCTTGTGAGAAGGATGACCAAGTCTATTGTGCCATATAGAAGAAGGCAAACTCATGGCAGCAAAAGCTTGAGGAATAGTGCGGAGAGAGGATGAAGGAATAGGATAGAGACCATCTTTACATTGGCCCTGAAACAGAGGAGCACCAGTGGAGTTATCATAAATACAAAATTGAGTAGCATCAAAGGTAAGAAGTACATTATTATCTTGAGTGAAACGAGCAACTGAGAGAAGATTTTTATGCATATTAGGAATATGAAAAACATTGGATAGGTGAAAGGTAGAAGTCCCTAGTGGAAGGGATATGTTACCAGTATGAGAAATTTTCATGTGATCGCCATTGCCAAGAATAACAGAGTCTGGTCCAGCATATGGGGCTGAATTCTGTAGGGGACGAGGATCGCCTGTCATGTGATGAGTCGCACCAGTGTCTGGATACCAATTAGGATCATGAGCAACTGCAGGTTGATAGGGCATGTAGGATGATGGTTGTGATGGTTGCGGAGAATGTTGTACGAAGGGCAGTGGCGGCTGGTATTGTTGAAAACCAGCAAAGGCATGCGCAGTCGAGGTATGTTGCGGAGATTGGGGTGACATATGAAGCCCAGCAAAAGCAGAGAGTCGAGGGCATTGGCTAGCAAGATGTCCAGCACCGTTGCACAATTGACAAAAAGAATGAGAGCCTGCAAAAGAACCAGAATGGAAAGGACTGGAATGGCGTCCATTGTTGTGACGTCCGCGATTGCGATTACGGTTCCTATGATACCCACCTCGGTTGCCTGAAGTATGCTGGTGGCCAAGATTGGTATGGCCATGGCCATTTCCAGATTGGGTACCAGCATATTGTTGAGCCAGAAGAGCAGTCGGTGGAGTAGGAGGCGCAGTAGAATGTTGGGCTTCAAAGGAGAGTAAACGGGCACGAAGATCCTGAAACGAGGGTAAAGGAGGAAAATGCAAAGTAGCAGTGACTATCATCTCATACCCAGGACCAAGACCTCGAAGAATAGCCTGCACTAATTCATCATTGAGAACTGGTTGACCAATAGCTGCTAAAGAGTCGGCCAAAGATTTGGCATATAATAAGTATTCAGAAATGGTCCGATTATCCCTGGAGAGATACAAGAGGTTAGACCGAAGTTGGGAGGCATTGGCAACTGACTGTTGGGAAAAGTGAGCCTGCAAGGTCTCCCAAATGGTGCTAGATGAGGTCAGACCAACCACGAGTCCCAAAATTGGCTCCGACAAAGTGGCACGAAGAAGACTAATAAGCATTTGATCGGTGCGAAACCATGATTGATACTCAGGGTTTGATTTTGGAGGTTGACCCTCTGTGGATGGCAGAACCTGATCTGGTGGAGAGGAAGAGCCATCAATGTATTTCCAGAAGTCTTGACCGATCAAAAAGGGCTTCATCTGAGAAAGCCAAATCAAATAGTTTGAGTCCGTGAGTTTCACCGTCACCAAGTTGTTGATGTGGGGAACTGAAACGGACGAAGCAGCAGCCATGGTGGTGCTTGAATTGCTGGAGGAAGATGGCATATTGGGGTGGTGCAAGACTCGATCTGGATTTCACACAGAGAGGAAAGAGCACGATGCCTGTTGCAAGGGCAGCGACACACAAAG